TGCTGACACAGCCAGAGCTGACCTACTGCTGTCTGATCCCTTCCCCAAGCCTAGGTCTCCCCAGCTCTGTCAGTTCCATGATCTAAAAACCATCCCACTCTGTCTTACCAAAGCCAAACAGAAATGCAGCATTCATTCCAGAAAATTCAGCATAATTTTTAAAGGAAAGTAATGAACCTAGGATATGGCAAAATCTGGATGTGTTTCAATCACACTCTTCCTACTTAGATGGATGTGGTCTAGGGAGTGATTTGTGTTTTCTGTGTTCCTTTCAGGAAGGTCCCTGAGTTGGCTGCTTGGTTTCCCAGAGTAGCTAAGGGTCTGCCAATTTTATTTATTTTTTTCAAAGAATCAACTTTTTGTTTTGTCAATTTTAAAAATTGTTTCTTCTGTTTCAATTTCATTTATTTCAGCTCTAATTTTAATTATTTCTTGTCTTTTGTTTTTGCTGTTGATTTGTTCTTCATTTTCTAGGACTTTGAGTTTTGTAATGTGAAGTCATTTATTTGTTGACTTTTTTTTTCCTTTTAAGGAATGAACTGCATGCAATGAACTTTCCTTTTAGTACTGCCTTCATAGTGTTCCAGAGATTTCCATATGTTGTGTCTATGTTCTCATTTACCTCTAAGAATTTTTTAATCTCCTCCTTGATGTCTTCTGCAACCCATTGTTCATTCAGTAGTATACTGTCTCCAGGTGTTGGAGTAATTTTTATTTTTTATTCTGTCATTGATTTCCAATTTCATTAAATTATGATCTGATAAAATGCAGGGTAGTATCTCTCCTTTTTGGTATTTGCTAAGAGTTGCTTTATGTCATATTATATGGTTTATTTTAGAGAAGGATGCATGTGCTGCTGAGAAGAAAGTGTATCCATTTGATACAGGTTGAAATATTCTATATATGTCAGTTAAGTCTAAGTTATTGATTGTATTATTGAGTTTTATAGTTTCTTTATTCAACTTTTGTTTGGAAGATCTGCACTGCAGTTGTGGCTATTACTGACTCTTGTCTGCAAAATGTCCCTCCCACTCTAACAACTCCAAATCCTCCACTGTGTCCTATTCCTGCCTGGATGCCATACTGAGGGTGATGGGGTGGTCTTTGATGCCAGCCTGGAAACTGAGGAGCTATGCACTGCCTTAAACCAAAGTGGGAAGAAGACTAAGCCCGACTCACTCTGTCTCTTCCAATTTGTGATTAATTACCATGGAGGAAATCATGTTTAGACACACGAGGTCACTTACCCATTTAAGATGGGCTTTGTTGCAAATTGTACTTAATTACTGAATGTTCAGTATCCATTATTACTCAGAGATTGTTACTATCCAATCCATAGTAACACTGTCACATGCTTGAAGTTTGAAATGTGGATCCCAGAGGAGCTCCTTTAATCTGTGATTCCAATGTTTTTAACTAATTCTAGTCCCTTACCTAATGTAAAGTAGCTGAGTAACTTCTCAATTTCCCCTCTGAAGAGTCTTAGAAATGATACTTCTTCATTCCACAAACATCCTTGCCAATCCCCATCAGCAAATTTCTCTTTCATCTTCTACTTCTTCTCCTCTAGCCTAGGCCAATAGCAGGAATCAATAGGAAGGAACCTGATTTCAGCATTATTTTTGGGGGGTAATTGAGCTGTCACAGAAGGTGACACATAATGATGGGTAATATCAGGCTCACTGCACAGTGGGATAACTTCTTGGGTCTCCTCATCATTTGTTATTTCTTAGTTCAGTAGAAAAAAGCAAGGCCAAAGATTTGACCTTCAAGGACACCAATTATCTTCTCTCCTGTATTAAATCTGAGGCAGCCTCTTCACCAAAGCCCAGAGGTATCTGCATGCCACACCTGTGTTAGGGGATGGGAAGGGAACTAGATACTAGATGGAAATGCTTCTAAAACATCCTGTCTTAAAGACTCAAAAGCAACTCAAAACACATACTGCCTTGCCTCCATAAACCAAGAGCACAGTTCAAACTCATCCAGGCATAAGGCACAAGGTAGAAGCAAAAAGGAGAGAGGGAGAGGGGGAGGGGGGAGGAGGAGGAACAGGAGGAGAAGAGGAGGGAGAAGATGGGGAGGAGGGGGAGGAGGAGGAGAATAGTCGGCCATATTTTCAGGTTCCAAATCTATGAATTCAGTAACTAATTTTAAAAATGTCTTTAAAAATTGCATCTGTATTGAATATGCAAGGATTTCTTTTTCTTGTCATTACTTGCAAAGCAATAGAGTAAAACAACTATTTACATAGCATATTAGGCATTAGAAGTAATCTAAAGAGGGTCTGAAGTGTAGAAGAGGATGTGCATGGGTTATATGAGCATACTATGCTGCTTTATACAAAGGACTTGAGCATCCATGGGTTTTGGTTTTTGAGCAGAGAGGTCCTAGAACCAATTCCCTGTAGATGTTGGGGACAACTGTTTTTCAGAAGTGATAGGAAGATTTAATTCATGGAAAGTAGCTCATGGAAATGTAATGCTAATACCACAGCACTTTAGGTGAATGGCTGGAGGCAGGGTTGTATCTCGAAGTATCAATATGCATATAATCTTTCCTTTCTCCCTCCCTCCCTCCCTCTATCCCTCCCTCCTTCCTTCCTTTCCACTGACACATCTTAACCACTGACATATCTCCAGCCCATTTTAGGTTTTATTTGGAGATAGGGCCTTGCTAAATGGCTGAGGCTGTCATTGAACCCCTCATCCTTCCACCTCAGCCTCCTGAGCTGCTGGGATTACACGCCTGTGACATGGCCCAGCTATTTTCTTCTCCTTTGCTCATTCACTGGGACATGAAGGGCATTCTTTCCATACTCAACCACATTTAAGCAGAGACACTCAAAGAAGCCATGAAACAAAGTGTGAGGAGGAATATCCGGGTGTGGAGTGAAAAATGAGGGTTCTGTTTGCAGAAATGAGCTAAGACTGGAGCTGAGGGGAAGGCACTAGCCCAGAAAGCTAACCATGCTGGTCACCTGTATGACTCCTGGGCTGGAGAGCAACTTGGACGCCTCATATCTTCACCCACGGGGGGGGGGGGGTGCTGAAGCATTCCCCACAGCCTTCCCAGACTGAGGTTGCCGTTGGTGGCCACTCACATTTAATGTTTTCGATGGGCTCATTAAGCCTGTACTCTTAATTAAATTGGTCTTTCAACATAAGGGCTTCATTAAGTGGAAATATAAAGTTAGAATCCTCCTTAAACTGAAGAGGCTTGTGATATCTTCATCCAAGGGTGTGTTGTAAAAGCTTATACTAAAACAAGGGAGTAGTTGTCTTGAAATTCCTATTATATATACACAACAATTTAAACTTTGTTCTAACTGTAGGTATTAATACCAATAGTGGTAATGCTGGCTGAAATTGGCTACTCAATTAGAATTAATTATTCATTACATGCAGTAAGATAAGGAGGAAATTTGGATCAGAATATTCCTGGGGAAAATTTTTTTATCTTTTTACTGACCAAAGAAATGAAATGTCTCAGAGAAAAATACATGTTTTAAGCTTTCACCATTAAAAAAAAATTCAAAATTGGAAGAAGACAATTTTTCAGAAAATGAGCAGGCTGTTTTTACAATGGGTTTTACAGACTCTAAATCAGTAGTTATCAACTGAGATATTTTTGAATTCCTGAGTAGGCCTTAAGATAAGAGCTAGTGTATCTTGTTGTCCCTGGAGATGGGACTCCAATGTATATCAAAGTTAAGAACCATGTTCTTCAAAAAGTATATCAAAGTACTAATTGCAAAATAAAAAATAAAAAAACCCTTTGGTTTCCAAAATAAAAAAATAGGCACTGAATTCTGTTTTTTAGAGATGTGGTGGTGGTAGTGTGTTCAAAATATGGAAGGAAGAAGGTGAAGGTAGATAGGTGTCAATTGCAAAAGAAGCTGTGCTAGATGTTATAGCTGCAATCTGATTTAAAATAAGAAAAATCTACATATGACAAGAAAATCTTGGTTTGTGAGGCCATAAGATTAAGATGTCAACTGACTACACATTGGAATGACACTTCAAAAGTATTCATTCACATTTTGGAAATCTCTAAAACACACACACACACACACACACACACACCAGTCTAGTACCCTGGACTGGACTTAACAACCAAGGCAATGTTCCCTCTCAAAGTATAGCTGGTAATCTCTGCAGAGATATCTGGTTATCATAACAGGGGCAGGGTTGGGGTTGGTGGTGCTAACGCCATCTGGTAGGACCCAGGGATGCTGATAAACACCTCACAATGCATAGCAAAAACCCATAGTAGAGAATCACTCAGCTGCAAATGTCTCTAGCAGCAAAGCTGAGGGACTCTGGTGCAGTGGTCCAAGACAGAGTATTGGTGGCATGGAGTGCTGAGTGGCAAAATGTAATTAAGACAACTTGATGAGACAGCTGAAACAGAGCTTTCAGTCTGGAAATTCACAGAAAATAAATAAGCAACACTTTCAGATGCTTTTGGAGGTGAGGAAAAGGCAGAAGAAAAATCTCATTCATAGATACAGGAGAGTTTCTGCATCAAAACGTGCAGCTGATCTTTGCAGGAGCAAGTGGTTCACTGCTTCTAAGACATGATATTCCATGTTTTGAATCAACAAGCTCCTGGCATATGGTGGGGTTTTCACAGAGCAAGACTAGCCTGGAAACAGCCAAGAGGAGTGTGTGGCAGCTGAAAGAAGCAGATGGCTGGAGAGGAAATGGTATTGAACACAAAAGAAAAATCATGGTTAATAATAAGAAAAGGAAAACCGCTGGAGAGAAGAAAAACAACTTGTGATGCTAGGAAATGAAAAGCTGAGAGTTTCAACAGTGTCATGACAGGCAGATCCATGAAGTGATAATAAGGAAATCAACTCCACATACCTAAATTGTCATTGGCAACATGATAGATAAATTTCTGTTCATGTATCAAAAGCCTTTAAACATTCATTTGGTCTAGATATTTCATTTTGAAGATGTATCTTTAAGACACAATTAAGGAGGTAGGTGAGGTTTAACTACATGGGTGTTTATTACAGTTTACACTAGTGAAAAATTAGAAGCAACTTCATTTTCTAAAAAGAGGGACTGGCTCACAACATCATGGTATGCCCGGCAGTGGAATTCTTTATAGCTCTTCAGCATTGCAGCATACAGAGAAACTTGCTGGCAGAGAGAAAGGTCATGCTGTCCAGTGACAAGCTGCCACAGCACAGTCTACTATCCCCAACCTGCTCTCCCCTGCAGAGCTGTCAAGGTGGCAGGAGAGAAACCCCCTGGGTACAGGTGAGAAGGGGCTGTGCAGTTTCCAGAGAATGTGCAAACAGTAAAATACATAAAAGTTATTATTTTTATTAGTAGTAGTATATGCAAAATTGTGGAATGAGTTCAGTGATAAGACACTTCTCTCATAGGAACAGGGAGCTCCTACTAAATTCCCTTAATTATGTCACCACACCTCATTTTTCTGTATTAACAAAATGCCCAAGGATCATGCACAAAGGGTCCTGATGACTAAATTCCTGCTTCCCTGGCATCTCGGGTATTACTGTGAATCTTGCAGGGCACCTGGGTACCAGTAACAGTGATCTGTGCAATGTCAGGGTAGGGCAGGTCTCTCCTGTCTTTCCTCCATCTATCTATCTGTCTATATAGGTGCAAAACTCAAGGGCAAGGCAGCACCTAGCCAGGTGCTCTCATTGGGAGGGTTTGGTAAACACTTGCCAGGGGCCCCTCCACCCCCGGAGAGAGGTTGAAGATATTAAGAATCAGGGCTCAATCCTTACCCACAGATTCCTTCCTTTCAGGGAGAGGATCAAAGATACAGCTTGACTCAGGAAAGGGGAAAAAGTGGGGCTGGGCTTAGTTCACAGTGGGCTAATGAACTGGTGCTGTCAAAGAGAGTGTGAGCATGGATCTCCCAAAGTACAGGCATGTGTAAGATGAATGCATAAATCCAGGAGTGGTCACAGAGCTGTAAACCACTAGAGAACTGGAACCTAGAACAAATGCTAACCCTGATGTATTCAAGTAGAATTCAGGAATTAGACTTAAGAATGCATTCTCATTGATTCTTACTCAAAATATCTTCTTTAGCCTTACCTTTACTGGAGGCAAAATTATTTCTCAAATAGTTTAGAAATTCTGCACTGTGATCTTGACAAATGCATTTGCATATTTATCTTGAATTCAAAGACTGTCAATGGAGGGTGTTGTGCATTCCAACCTATTTCCCAGGCCAGTCAGGTTCCAAGTTAGTATAACCCTCAGAAGCTGGATATATGACCACAGTGTCCAGGGCAATCTGGACTGTGACCTCAGCATCCAGGGAAGGACATGGATGTGAGACCCCAGTGTGGGGAGAAATAGGGAAATCCTCAGTGGCAGGGTTTTGGCCAGCAGCAGAATGAACAGTTCCTTCCCACTACTCCCTTTCCTGGGGTGAGGGCAGCTTGGGGTAAGGGCTTCATCTCCCAGGGGCCCTGGGGATGTGGTGGAGGCTGTTACGATACCCTGGAATGAGGAGGGGTAGCTGCCTACTGGCCTTTACTTGACTGTAGGGGACCCACTTACAGTTGCACAAGGGAAAAGCATTTTGTTTGAAGAGGTCTCCCTCTCCAGCCACAAAGGGCTTTGAATAGTCCCTACAGCCAAACTTCTGATGCCATTCTGTGGATGGGCTGCGAATTCTGACTCACACTAGCAAATTCAAGATGCAAAACCAAACCTTCTCCAAACATGCAATAAAGCACTCATTGGATTTTGTGCTTCCCTTCATACAGCACGTCTATTCCAGGCATCTCTGCCACCCACATGGCAGCCAGCCTGGCCCCACAAGGACCTCAGTGCATGTGGGAATTAACACATAGTAGGCTCAGCCCCAGGGTCCACCTCCACTCTAGGAGCTGTCACACCTTGCTTGGCTTTTTTTCTTATTTTGAAATTTCCCATCTTGGCTCAGCTGCAAGACATGGGGGTAGTTATTTAACTTTCACCGTTTCAGCTGTGAAATTCCCACAGGAAAACTGTGCAGGCGCTTCACTGATTTTACCACACAGTGGAAATGCAAACCGGGTATCTGGACATACAGAAAGGAAATTCACGTTGCAAGAAGGGAGGGAATGAGTGCATGCAGCTGTGAGTGTCCAGCATCACCTGGTCCTGGGATTTCTTTTTCTTCTTTATCTTGCCCCAGCACCCAGAGCTCTCCGCATCCTTGATGATGGCCTCGCCACAGAGCAGCGTGTCCAGCTCATCCATGCCCATGTGCTGTCCCTGAGACGTTTCTGCTGCCAGCCTGTACGAGAGGTTCCTTAAGATGCACACACAGTTTTGAATAGTCTGGGAAAACAGATAAGAAAGAAAGAGAGAAGGGAAAACAGAAGAGGAATGAATAAGAACTAACCAGCACTCTGCCCTCCACCCTGGACAGGCAACGAGTCCCAGGCACACACTTCTCTCCTACTCCCAGGGCTCCCCTGACCCCAGTGGAAAGAATTCAGAGAAGCCTAGAAAGATCATGATACCCTCTCTCCCCACACAGAAGCTATGCATCAACAACAGTCACTTCTAAGCACCTGTTACTGTTGATTGACAGTTCACTGGAGAGAGAGGAGGAATTTATAACCACCAGCTGTCCCCAGACTAGTCCTGCCTGGGACTCAGAATCCCAGTCATGAAGAGCACAGGCCCTGGCCTGTGGTCAGCCCTGGTGGGTGACCCTAACCTGCACCATCTACACTTCTGGGTGTAAGAGGAGCAACATACACAAACCAGGGCTGTCCCATGCACATCAGGGGCTATGGCCACTGGGAGGCATATCTGTTCTCATTCAACTGATTCTTTCAAGAGGACCAACATTCCTATTTCCTAGCAAAGGGGTTCAACAGCAGTTAAGGGCACATGTGGAGCTGGACACCTGTAGAGCTCTGGATCTCCACTATTAGCTATTTGATTTTGGGTGATATAATCATGGTATCCTGGACTCATTGTCCCCCTCCGTACAATGACCACAATAGGACCTCATCAGTAGATTGTTGTGTGGGTCAGGGGAGCTAATGCATGTGTGTGCAATGGTCAGAATAACGCTCCCAAGTGTCCACATCCTAACTGCTGGACCTGTGAATGTGTTAGGTTCTATGGAGGGTGATTAAGGCTATAGGTGGAATTAAGGTTGCTGACAGATGGGCAGTTTATCTGGATTTTCTAGGTGGCCCATTTATCACGAGGTCCTGTAAGAGGGAGGCAGAAGAGTCAGGGCAAGAGGGTTGTGATGCTGGGAGGTAGGAAAGGCCATCAATGGCTTTGAGTATGGAGGAAGGGGCCACAAGCCAAGGGATGTGGGCAGCTTCTGAGCTGGGGTGTAGAAGGAAGCAGATTCTCCCCTGGAGACCCCAGGAGAAGCCAATCCTAATGGCACTTTCCATTTAGCCCAGTGAGACCCATTTTGGACTCATATACTCTAGAACTGGAAGATAATAAATATGTGGGGTTTTACCCAGCCACCAAGTTTGTGGCCATTTGTTACAGAACAGAACAATAGGAAATTGATGCAGCGGGGAAGCACCAAGAATGCTGGGGACACCAGGAATCATTCTAGTGATGCTGGGAGAAGGCCTGGCTTCAAAAGCCTGAGGCATGGGACCCAGAAGGAGTCAGCATGGCTTGGATTTTTGTGTGGGCTCTGCCATTTAATGAGCTGTATACCTTAGGCAAGATTCTTAAACTCTCTGTGCATCACAGGGCTAAAGGTAAGGGTTAAATGAGGTCACAGACACAGGTCACAGAAGAGTGACTGATGATGATGCATTCACTGTTATCATCAGAGGCAAAATGTGGGATTGAAGAAATATAGTTCTAATAACCTCCAATCGATGATAGGAGTGGTTGGCTGGTAAACCAGAGCTTATAGGCCAAGCCAACAGAGCTTGTACATAACCAATCAGGGGAATTCAACATGCCCTGGTTTTTTATGATGTATGGTTGCTGTCATGTTCCAATGGCAGGACAGAATAGTTGGGACAGAGACCAGGGGGCTCACAGAGCCAAACACGTTTATGCTCTAACTCTTTGCAGAAATTTTGCTGGTTGAGACAGAGCTGACCATTTTGACCTTTGTCCTGGACTTGAGGAACTAGAGGAGAGGAAAAAATACTTCAATTTTTAAAAGGGTATAACATCAGGAGGCAATTAATCTGAGCTAAGTTTTGCTTGAAAAAAATCACAACACCTTGGCTTCAATTTCCCACATATCTATTATGTGTCTGTCACCACTGAACATAGGTACCATGATTCCATTGTATGGAGGCTGGAAAGCACAAGCAAGGCTGTGGGTGACCAGGGCAGATGCTGCCTCTGATCTGCAGTCCAGGCTCAGGGCTGGAACTGGGATCCCAGTCCTGCCTGATTTCCTCTATAGGCTGAAATCTGGTGAGATACATCTGTGCCCTTTGCTGGTTCATGGGCATGTGAAAGTCAACAAGGAAAACCAGCTCTCAGGACATGTATCTGTGGCCTTTGCCATTCTAGACCTTTCTTGTCAAATTTTCAAGGTTTCACGGCAGCTAATCCCACAGGCTTTGAGTCAACTTGATTTTCTATTTCAAATCTCCTCTCAGCATCAAAAAAGGAACAGGGCATGAAAGCAGGTAAGCACAGGATGATGCATGAAAGACAGAAAAGTCTCTCATTGAAAGGAAAATGTTATGGCATAAGTCAGAATGATTTTCAAATCAGCTCAAACTGATTTTTCTTACATCAAAGACTGGGGAGAATAAACTTCTCTCTCCTGCTGCTGTTCTTCCCCAGGGGCTGTGCCATTCCTCTGTTTAACAGAAGACTACTGGGGACAAAATCTGCTGTCTTGAGAAGTGTTTTATAATCTACCTGCTGTGGGGAGATGATTCAGGGAGATGCTGGAGGGACAGAGGGAAAGAGGTGGGGGTGGGAGGGGAGAGGGGCCAGGAATTGAACTCATGGCTCTCATTAAGATCCCTGGAGTGTGGCAGTCTGGTGTGGTTTAGGCAGGTTACCAATTCAAGAGCTTTTCTCTGAAAAGATGGGGGAGGGGTGGAGGAAGAAAAGAAAAAGGCCCCAACTACCAGCAGAAGTCATGTGGCAGCTGGTGGCTTTGCTTGTGACATGCATTGCTGTCCACAGCACTTTTAGAAGTTTCTTTTGGCCACCAGGGTCATCTTTATTCCTTATTTTTTATTAGAATGGGCTAATATGGAAGTCGTCTGTAGAGTGCTCTACCATATACTACCCATTCAACAAACTGTCCCCATTATAACAGAGCTGAGAGCTTTTATAGAATCCAGGCTCTGTATTCATTATCTTCTCTGGCCTTAAAGGGAACATGTGCTCATTTTTACCCCCTTGAACTTGTCATTGTGAAAACTCAGAGTGTCCAAGCAGAGCACTGAGTGGAAAATTGTGGTACAATAATAACATGTTAAAACTCCATCTTAGCATGCAGCCTGCAAAGCATTGCTGAGTGATTTATCACATTTGCAACAACCTTGGCATGCAGCTATGATTATCCTTCCTGTCACAAAGCTGAGGTAACTTGGGCATGGTCCTCCAGCTGGCTGGAGCTGGAGATGGTACTGTCCACTGGTGCTGCCTGGATGGCCCTCTGCTCTTCCTACACATCAGGGATTTCAGGGTCTTCTGACTCCAGATTGGAAGACTCCAGATTATTTCAACTTTCCTTTTTGGGGAAATGTGGATATCCAATAGATGACTTCCAAGGTCTCACAGGAGTATTAGAAGTTTGACATCTGAGGCATCAGATGAGAGATAGTTGTGCCTTTGAGCACACTGGCTCTCAAGCCACACTGCTGAGACTGCCTGAGCTCAGAAATGGTGCAGGGGAACGTGGCTGAGGCACAAGGCCACTGACTTTCACTTTAGCTTCACCTGCAGTCCAGACGTCATTTAAGTTCCTTCGTATGCATAATGGTAAGAGGCTTCATCTCCCCTCACCTCAGTCTTTCACAATGGCAAACATCAAGATGCTTAGCATTGCTGCTTCAGGAAATCACCTTCAGTAGCTCTTTTAAAAATCAGGAGTCTATTATGCTAACAGGCCTCTGTAATTTCTCAGGGAATCTCAACTTGTCACTTTTCCAGGGATTTAATTTTCCTGTCAATGATGCTAAAAGATCTAAAATGGTCATTAGAGTGTTTACAAAAGAGGAACACTTAAGCCTTTGTTACATTATGTTCTGTCCTAGAAATTAATAGCTCATGGCCAATGAGTGGATGTAGGCCTGGGGGTGGCAAGGATGAGATGACAAGCAGCACTTGTGACTCAAAGAGCTGGAGTCCCAGGAGACACCCAGGGCCCCAATCTTTGAGGAGCAAGGCTGAGCCACCGGTAATTCTCTAAATTTCTTGGTTTTTGTAATGAGTGGCCAAGCCTGAGAATTTTAATGTGAACTTACTCTCAAAGATGAAAACAACTAAGGGAATAGAATCACTCCTATTTATTTTTTGTTTGATTTTTACAATTATATTATCAAAGCAGATTGCAATTGTCCCATTCAGAGCTCCACCTACTAAGGCAGGCCCTTCATCCAAGATGCACATCAGATTCATTTTTAAAGGTATCAGCACTTGCAACCAGAGCTAGGCAGTCAGATTAGGGACAACAAAGGGGTCTGGGAGACATATTCATTAGTGCCCCAAAGGCAACTCTGATGAAGAGTCTGGGTTGGGGACCATGGGATCATATAGGGGTTTGCAACGAGAGTGGATTTGGCTCTGCATAGAAGGCATGGCCACGTGCAGGGACCCGTTGGTTTGTTAGTACTGAGGTGGGTGGGTTGGGAGATGCTACTGGCATCCAGTGGGTGAAGGCAGGAATGCTGCCTGATCCTGGTTACAGCCCCTTACAATGAGGAGACAGAAGGCCCCAACTGTTAATAGGAACAACTCCTCAGAGCCCGCATTAAGGTATCACACTTATCCATGCACTAATTTGAAGTATAGGTAGAAGCTGTGTTTATATGAAGATACTATGAAATTACTTTGCAAATTTATATTAGTGTGAATTGAAACTCATCTAGTTAAGAGAAAACAAAAATAACTCAAACACTGGAAAGGTTCACCCATTTCCATCTTGGCTTGTGAACTACAGCAGTGAGTACATATTAATAACTTAAGGCACTGGCAGCTTCATTTAGCTTTTTAACATTCTCTCAGATTTTGAAGGCATTTTAAAATGGCATTTAGTACAATTAGCAGTTATTAAAAAGACAATATGAGAATACATATTCCAATCTTGAGGAGTTTTAATGTTAACCTGGATTGTCACACATTGCTGATCTAAGGTTGGAATGCTAGTTCTAAGGCCACGAGGAGAGGCCTGCCTGCCTGGACAGAGTTGGAGTCACACAGAGAAGCTGAGAGAGCTCAGGATGCATGTGTGAAGTGCCACCACAGCTCTCCATGTTGTCCTCCATCACGAGGCCCCATGGCATCTGTATGCTCTGAGATGCTCAGTCTGTGCAGACACTACAAACCTGGCTGTCGATCTCGCTGCTCCCAAGTGCAGACTGGACCACATAAAGTAAGGCATCTGTGAGCACATCACACGCCCACATCCTCCAGTGGGCCTCCTCTCTGGCTGAACTTACATTCCTGCAAAGCAGAGGGAAGTGTCAGTCATCAGTGACTTTCACTGCAGTCACTGAGAGTGCATACTTCCAGGCCACCACCCCCAGTTTTAAAGAAAACTTTTTTTTTCTTGGTAGAATGTTAATCAAGAATATAGTTTTAAGGCTGGGGTTGTGGCTCATGGTAGAGCTCTTGCCTAGCCGTGTTTCAGCACTGCATGAAAATATAAACAAATAAAATAAGTTTATTTTCAAAAAAGAATATAGCTTTAATGAGTAGGATTGGCTTCAACAAAAGTTCCTGGAATTGAGTAAAACAAAGATCCCTTACTGCAACTTGGAAAACAGAGCATGTGGACTTCCTAGCATGATTGATCTTCCAGCCTTGTGACTGCTGAGAATGGGGGACTTTCAGAAAGTCTCAGGGTTCATGTCATTTATAATCAACAAGGGAATCAGAAGTCTTTTGATTCAAAGGATTCTTCTTCTTTGAGAAGTCTGAAGCAATTTAAAAGACAGAGCTTCTGATTCATTGAAATATCTTAGAGATATAAATTGGCCTGCCTCAAAAATATACCTACCTTGGCCCAGCCAGAAGTAGACTTCTAGGAATTTACTCTAAGGACACAGAGTTTCTGGACAATTTAGTCTTTTGGATATCCATGACAGTTCTTAGGGGAAGAAGTCAATCCAAATGCTTTCCTGTCCTTCAGGGCCTGAGCTAAAGTCCAGAGAAGGGGCCTCTTGGGCCAGAACCCAGCTAGGAAGCACACAGACCATGGTTAAGATTCGGGTCCAGGGGAAAATTTCTGCAGGGACTCTGGACCACAGAGAGGGGATGCTGGGGGAGATGAGCTAATGGAGGCCACAAAGGGATTAGAAGAATTTAGAGAGAAGGACAGAGAACTAACTAGGTAGGACAATGGTTCTCAAACTTTGGGAACCTCAGAACAACCTGGAGGGCAGATAAAATATAGGGTGCTGGATTCCACCTGTGTCTGGCTCAGAAAGCCTGGGTTGGAGTCAGTTAAGGTGCATCTCTTTGGTGATTCAGAAGATGAGAGCGAGGCCCTAGACCTGTGGGGCGAGTTTGGCCAGAGGAAGGTGGTCCTGTTTTCTGCCTGCTATGAGGCCATGGGGAGGATTCCCAAAACCTCTGAACTTGGACAGTCTGGAAGAGTGGAAATAGTAGGACTCTCCACACCAGCATGGTCATCAACACAGGCACTTCCTCATTTTGTTTTCAAAATATCTTTTGCAGTTGCACCTATTCTACTTGGCAGGTGAGGAAGCTGAGACTTAAAGAGTTTGTCCAAGGTCCCGCAGCTACTTATGGAGACACTGAAATGAAATATGAGGAAAGGAGAAGCCAACAGCTTCAGCCTTAATGGAGAATATGGACGGACTAGATTTTGTTTGTTCGTGGTTTTTTGTTTTTTTTTTTTTTTTTTTTTTTTAGGATAAAAAGAAAATGAAATATGCCTAATGCTAAAATGCTAGTGAATATAATGCTTTCTTTGATATCTACAAAGTTTCAAAAGAGACATTAAAAAGGATTTATCAGCATTTTAATGTATCCCTAGAAAATGTTATTTAATTTAAATTAGGATTTTTGGCATTTGCTGATCTTACAATATGAACAAAATTTTCAGTTTCTTAGGTAATACAACTAATCAAATATTGACAGCGTTTTAATGCAAAATTTTATAAATTGCACCTTGTGTTGATCAACATGTTTCTGGCAATGTCCCTAGTGGGGGCAGGAGGGAGGAAGAACTCACTTTCTGCTATGGGAAATGTGGCAGGAGGCACAATAGTATTATTTTAAACTAGAAGGATGGCCCTTATAAAAGTCAAGTTTAGACCTTGAAATGATTTTCTCCAGATTGAGCTTTGAAGATATTAGAATAAGTTTGTCAAAATTCCCTATCAGACCTCCATGGCAATGAGTGACCTTGGGTTTGGGAGGGTGGTTTTTCCAAATGAAGAAACTGAGGAATTCAGACCTGAAAGCACCTCAGCTCATGTATACCCCAGTCTGAAGTACCCTGAATACACCTCCTGGAGGGATGAGATGTCTTTCTTTTGAATATCGTCATGATGGGGTGGCAGCCTCCTGAACCACAAATACACTTAATCATGATTAGCACTAATTTCACTGGTAATCAAAAATGTGCAGAAAATAACAGGAATGAACAGTTCATCAACATTAGATGCTGTCAACATTAATTCCAGCATATTCTAGTTTCTATTTGATTCTAGTCCAGTGTGCTCCCAAATTTAAAACATTTTTAATTAAAATGTACATGATGTTGAGACACAAGAAAGATTAATATAGTGTCACTAGACAAGGTAAAAGGACCAAGACACACCCACCCACCCACCCATATGCCTATTGTCTGCAAGTGACAGGAGACAACATATATTATCAAATGGACACAAGTTTGTGCTTGTCTCTTTTATGGGTAATGGTTTCATACAAGCCTTTGGACCTAAGTTTCTACTTTTATTCAACTATTACAGAATTGGTAAAAATCACATTAAATGAAACTTTGGGCTTTTCTTTGCAGGCAATGAGGTTTTCCTTTTTTCACCTTTTCCTCCTAAACACAAGATCTACCACTTTTTCAACTATGGCACTCAGCTTTTTGCTGTACATTACCAGGTACCTGAAGAAGAATGATGTACTTTCCACCCACAGTAAGGAACCAGTGCAGAAAAAAGGTCACAGCCTCAGTAATTCCAATACAAAATCCATGATGGAGGTTTAAAACGATAAGGAAGTAGGAAGGGAACCAGATACATTTGATCCCTCAAATCCCATCTTTTGGTTTTCTCTCTGGCTTGATCTCCCACATTCTGGCCATCTGCACCAGAAGCACTTTTTATGGAAAATGGGAGGCCCATTCAGTTGAATGTGTGGTGTAAGCTCCACAGCATAGTCTGTGAGAGTACTGTGTATTCCATCTGATTTAAATAGTACAAAGAATGATGGTGGCTCAGAGGCACAAGGCGTCCAGCAGCAATGGACACCTGTGCCACTTGCAGCAGGTGCACCTTCCCTGGTCTGGCCACTCAATTGAATGTATGCTGTGAGCTCTCTTGCAAAGCTATGAGAGCACAGTCCTTGAGCTCCCCAAGGAAATCACTGTGACCACTGGTGTTTATCATCCAAGATTATTTTCTACTCCTAATAAATGTCCTGGGCAGGTATGATTTTGTTTTTTAACCATCCTGTTTCCTCAGGAAACTTGCATTTATCCTTAGAAAATGTATCATTGCCTCTTTTTATGATGGTACCTACAGATCTCACTTAGTCATCAAACGACTTCTGGTGTCCCATTTATAAACAGATCATGATTCACATTTTTTAGACTTTTTGCACCTAAATGGACACTCAGGATATGTCTAACTTTTTTCCTATACTTAACAATATTGAGCTAAAGTTCATAGTTACAGATTTTGTCAGATGGATGCTGTGGACCTATTCTAGGAAGAAAGAATTTACAGAAATAAATCTATTCAAGTTAAAAAAAAAGTAGATACATGCTTTTTTCTATACTCAATGCTATCTTGTGATAAAACCAGGTAAACAGATGTGTGTGTGTGTGTGTGTGTGTGTGTAATGTGACTAAATATTTTGCAAGCAGCAACCAGCAATATGAAGGATTTGGGAACCAATCACCTTTGAACTTGACTCTTCAATGTACAATAGAAAATGAACACAGGCTGAAATGGATGGAAGGGTTATCATTCACCTCATCCAATAGAATTTTTCCTTAAATTGTAATTCTATAAAATTGGACATTGGTAATTTTCCTTAATATTTATAGCAGAAAATTGTGAGTTGTGATTAAGAAATAAAGACACAGAAGGCATTGAATGTGTTTCCAGCAAGGAAGCATATCTCATGTGAAATCAGTGCAAATTATTTTTAAAGGTAGATGGGAAAAGTGGGATAAAATCACAGAGATGGGCTCAGGAGCAGTCCAGCTAAATGGTGTGTGCACACCAATTAGCACATCTGCTCAGAGGTGGGGTCAGCAGACCACTAAAGCCTTTGACAGAGGAGAGGACCTGGCAAGAAGAGGTAGAATTTTGCATCTAATGCCATTTCTGGTACAAGACCTCTCCATTTTTACCAGGCCATTTTTACCACCTCCATTTTATTGGTATCCTGAGCCAGTCACTGTGTCATAACATCATGGCTAGCTCCTGGTTCACTGGAGTAATCTTGTCAGTGCCCTTCACCAAGGCCCGTTACCTGTGCTGGGTCCATCCTAACATCTCTAGGTACTAGATGGCATAGGTAGGCAGCTGTGAGTGCTGGTAAAGGATCATCAGAGGCTCTGCTGCCCCACAGGGCTCCACAGCAATAGGCAAGTGAAGGTTTATGATGCTATAACAATACGCAAAGGCAGGCAGAAGCAAGTATCCCTGACCAGCTTGGTGAATCCAAGTCATTCAAATGGCATTTCCAAGGCCACCTTTCTCTGACATCTTATGCAGAGGGCAGAGCTGAGAATGACAAAAGGTAAGTCCTTGACCTTGATGCCTAGTAGAGTTTGCTGGGCTGGATTTCCAGGCTGCTTTGGGGCATGACTCCACTTTTCTTTCTACTTCCTCCCTTTTTGACCTCAAATGTCTCTAACTGTTGTCCCATCCACCCTGTGTTGGAAATAGATAACCTGTTCCTTCATTTTTACAGGTCTCACATAGATGGGGACAGTTTCCTGGGAGCTTTGCTTAGTGGATTGCTCATCCACACCTGATTTAGATGAATCAGATTTGGAGTTTGGAGGTGAAGAGATTTAGGACTGTGAATCAAATTCTGTAATGGGATAAATTTTTAGAGAGCTTGGGATGAGATAAAAGTATGTGGGAATGAATGCATCTTTGAGGGCCAGAGAGGTGGTCAAATACTGGCCTCTCAAAGATGTCTATGCCTTAATCTATGGAATCTGTGACTAGATGGCTTTACATGGAAAAAGGGACTCCACAGATGGAATTAAGATTTTGGACCTT